CATACTTATATCTTGACTAACATTTCAGGGTTTATTCGCTTTAGTTATGGGGGTAATTGTTTATTTCAGGGCAATGTGAAAGAAAATTCAGATATTTTTTCCCGAGTTCTGATTTGGAAAACGTAATGTGCCATACAGTGATTTTACGTAATATTATATGCAGCTGTTGGTGCGTTTCAGTCAGTTTCAGAATTATCATACAAATATGTAGAGACTTGACATAACATTGACAAAGTTTATAAAACTACATGACTGTATCCCTCTTAATGTTTGATTTGCGGTTTATACTCCGAACTTTCTGAGTTTAAATGGCATCAGTTGGTATAAAACTAACTATTATACTGAAGATTCTTTTCGTACTCATCCTTGCTAGTTCAGCTCCCTCCCCGTGAGCGAGGCACGTTTTTCAGGATCATGGTCGTTTTCAGTCTTAGAATTTCAACATTATTCTGTTTCAAAAAACTTAGTCTTTCTCCAAACTGAAAGGCGAGCGATGTAAGTAACGAATTTCAATTGCTTTCTTGGGGAGAATCATTTCGATACCCAGTCATCGCTCCTTAACTACCGTCACGTTAAGACCACCCTGAACTCTTTCACTGAGACCTTTCCAGTCAGTTGTACCGTGAATACACTTTAAGATATACGACTCAGTGCTTTCAATGAACTGATATATCTAAATCAATAAGCTCCCACGCAGAGATATTTTTTCTGTTATTTTGGGCCCAAGGTGATTCTCAACTGAATTTCGATACTGTTTTAGTTAAATTGAAAGAACTACTGTTAAACTCTATATTCCATGGAAAAATCTGTCATCTTTCTTAACTTCTATGCTTGCCAACTCGAAATTCGGCTTAAATTCACTGATAGAATGCAGAGCCACTTGCACACTTCATCAGGCATCGAGCGGTTCGTTTGGCTCATTTGTTTTTTCGCAGTATACAAACAACAAACAAGACCTCAGCTCCACTGCTGAGTAGACGAGCCACAACAAAAGCCCGCTGACGGCCACCAAAAATAACTCCTTCATCGTTCTCAATTCTAGTATATCCACAACCGTACTAATGACTTCATGCATGGCCCTATTTACTGTGTAGTTGCTCCCAAAAGGCATAAATTTTGCTTTGCTTCAGATAGAACTTTATGCTTCAGTAAAATGTGGGTGACCTGAAGACCCAGCTTAAAGACGGTAATAAATGTTGTCAGACTTCGGGCAGGTACAGAAGAATTTATAGGAAAAAAGAAACTTGCGATTGCCGATAGTTATCGAGATAGTTTGATCAAGTGATTTTATGTAACACGTAGTATCTCGTAACAATTAGTGCTCAATAGTTTACGACTAAGCAAAAGAAAGTAATGAAATTAGAGTGTAATACTGTGAAGAAGTGTCTGCTATCTATTTCACAAGTTAAGTGATATCAGACTATTAATGATAAAGCTAAGAGATACAACTTCCCCCAACATTATCCATTACTCGAGCTGGAAAGTAAACTTCAATCCAATATGAATAAATTCAGTCAGTAGTAACTCTTTAAAGTTTGCTAAGACAAGTCAGATCATAAACTACGAGATATACATGTTTATAAAAAAAAGAAGACTTTTAGATAGAATTCTCGTCCTTACCTGCTCTGTTTGAAGAATTTACCCGGCTGCCGGACTAAATGGGAATAGACTGCGCGTATAAATGGTGACGAAGAACTGTGCTGAACTTCACTGACTGTTAGCTGTCCACTATTTTCTTTTATGGAGTTTCCAGACAAAAGTATTCTTGGAATTTTGTTTTTATTCCGTGTGGCCATTGTGTTTTTGCTGACTCACTAATGACAAAGATAACATTTATTCAGAATGGAAGAAAAAAACAATTAACTTAAGAGACTCTTAATACGTAAGCACACTGAGTCGAAAAAAAGCGGAAGACTTAACAGGTCCAGATCATCATATCCCTGATTTTCATTCTCCTTGATGGCTTCTTTGATATCTGGCGCCAGTTATATTAATGAGTGTTGATTTTAATCCCTAAGTGAGATAGCAGTTAACAATCCTCGTTACACTTTAATGATTGTACCTCAAGTGAATTACTAATCATAATTTCTCTGTCGACAGCTTTTGGGTTTCCAGAGAATTTTGCGTTCGTGTGTCCTACATTGAAACACTTGTTTGCTTGTTTTGGGTGAAAAAAACTTGATATAAATGTACGAAAAATAAAAACTTGATCATATCGACGGGGACGTGATTAAATCATTGCAAAGGAATTGAATAGTCACTGATCAATCAATCAAGTTATTCTTTAGTCTTAAAATTACTAAAAAATTATCGACCAACCGTGGAAATAACATCCGCTCCTAAAACAAACCCATTTATTACTTTTTAGCTGTTCCTGTTTCGGTCTCCATCGTAGTGCTAAAAAGATGCTGTTAGGAATTTAGTTTTCAACCATAATGTGAAAATTTCACGGAAAGGGTAGTGAGATAAAATTTACCAGTTAGGCCCCTTCTATATAAGAACCTGTTAAGCCTAAAATTTGAAACAGGTTCTTCTTTTCTAAAATCTATAAGAAGAAACGCAGTAAGATTGAGCAAATGAGATAAGCCAGCAATCAGGATCCTCTTTGAAGAATTATCCGTTCAACTGCAATTTACAGCTGAATGTAATGGTATGCAGATTTTATTAGAGAATCCGAGCTGAATACCTATGCAGATTTTATTAGAAAATAAGCTGAATACCACTAAATACTCTTAGCTATGATCTATTTGTTCTTTAGAAAATAATAACCTAAATAGCCTAAATTTGTGCTAATTACCATTTCTGTAAGAACTTGTTTAGGCTAACTTGGAAAAATGCAGGTTCTTAGTTGCGGGTTTTTACTGTATTGCAACAAAACGTTCCTAAAATATACGATCATCAGGACGACCACCCGTGCAGAACAACTACAGTCACTTCACTGGACAATCAACTTGAAATCAAATTTAAGCTTGTGCAGTACTGTTTTCTTCTTCATTCAGGTCTTCATCAAGCAAAGCTAGAAAATTGTCCCACATTTAGCTTTAGAATTAGTAGCACGCGTGAGACCAGTTTATGAAGTCAAATTTAATTTAAGAGCACCGCCGGCTTTCAACGACGCTTTACACCCGGGGAAGGGGGATTAGCGGCTTCCTACAATAGCTTATACCCGGAGGTTCTGCCTGAAAAGGGGTACCCGGATTTTTGAGGCTTTAATTAAGGTTTATCAAAGACAGGGAAATCACTGTTGAAGTAAATAAAAGGTCTAAAAGGGTACAAACATTTTCATTTATTAAATTAACGTCACTCTAAAATGACATATAAAGACTTCCTGTCTTCGCGATTCATTCTTACTAGGTAGACATTTAAAGGCCGGGTAGTATTTTCAATGGAACTGTATACGAAAGAGGTACCTTTTCAGTGAAAATGGTATATAAAACTATGTAAACCTTATCGTGAGTAGCCCCTTCTCCCTGCATTTACACCATCAAACATTCTGTTGACATTTTACGTGTTCCCTAAACCTCCATTTTGCTGCTTATTTTTAAAATTACACTCTATTTTGGAGGGAAACAAGGGGTCCAGACCTTCCGCCTCCTCCATCTTGCATTCCACTCTCCGGTCCCTATTTTCTTGGCTTCTTCCTTTTAGCATTTTTCCATCAAAGACTGTTGACATTAAAACGTGTATTTTTTCCTGCAACACGAATTTGCCGCCTTTGTGTTTAATCTCCAGGCCCCAGACGTTCAAAAGGTGACTCAAGCTATGCACTGGATAAATCTCAGTATCAAACGGATAGTGCACTTGGTGTCCCTAATACTTTATGTCCTTTGGATGACGGCTTTTCCGGTGGATAAACAACTGGAGCCAGTTTCTCAGAGTTAACCGGGATTGCTTTCACCAGAAAGCGCAGGAATTTTGAGGGCTAGCGCAGTTACGAAAAATTTTAGCCAGAAGCTAGAAAACAGTGATATTGTATTTTCTGGCTTTATAGCATGTTGATATAAATAGACACGGGCGACACCCTTTTATGGGTCAAAAGATTTCTATGATTTAGGTCACAATCAAAATAACGCGGTTTCGGAATATTTCTTGCTTACCATTCCTTATAGATTTTGGGACAGTTAACCACAGGTTAATAAAATTCCCCGGAGGCTTTAAAACAGGAAAGAATTTTGATGCTTTCCGACGGCGTTTTATACTGCGTGTTGGAAAGTTGATCACGCAAATAAAAATCTGGATTGCTTTGACAAAAACAGGCAAACGATGCAAGGATTATTAGCATGGCTGAATCCGTGAGCCGGCAATATGACACGAACCTGTGTACTGATTGGCTACTCGACTGAGCCTGAAAGATGTGCCCATCTTGCCTTTCGACATTTTCCGCCTTGGTCCAGCAAGAAAACGATATCTTTTTGGCCATGAAATAAATCCTTTATTGTCCCAGCTTGTTCGGTCAAGATGGCTGGATATTGGCCTCCTCGTTCTTTTTTGCGTTGTTATTATCGTCTTTTTTGATCCGTGAAAGCGAAAACAAGAACTTGATCAATATCCAGCCTTCTTGATCTCACGCTTGGTCAATAACACATATCAAGAGCCTGTGCATGTGTATTAAAGGACTTCAAAGAAGCCTGAGCCCCCTGCGGCGTACCAACACAAAACCGGCTCTAAAAGATAGTTAGTATATCTAAGATTAAACGCACATTGTTTTAAAATACTTCATACTTGACTGGGTTCTTTCTCATTTTTACTCTACTTCACATTTGATCGAATTACATGTATTTTGATGATGTTCTGTTCCTTAGGAGACTTTGTGATGGCTATCATAATGATAGTGCATCTCATTAGGGTTCGATCCTGGATATACTGTAACCGGCCGCTTATAAAGCTCTCCAACCCAACTAGCTGTAGGCCTATCAACCCGTAAACAAAAAAAACACATCCGATTACAATCCCACTCCCCAGAATGTATTGAAATGAATTCTATTTATTATGATCTTTTGACGCTTAGTTAAAAACCAGTAAATGCAAAATTATTTTGACTAGCACTTCTGTAGATTGCTTCGAAGCGTTTTCTATTCCTGTGATAAGCTCCCTCGGATGTAAGCCCCTCCATTTATAAACCCTCCTAAAACCCCTTACCAAGATGTTGAAGCGGCAGTTTACGATCAGTAGACACCAAAAGGGAAAATTGATGCAAGTATGAAAGACGATAAATATGTCCTTAAAGGATACGTTATGAATAAATGCCTGTTCTTCTCTCTCTAGACAGGAGTTTGAATTAAAGTTTCAGAAAAGTTGGAAAAACTTTGAACGGATGTAGGTTCGTTTCTTATTCGTCTCAAGACACAACTTCCTTTTTCACGTTTTTAGTGTCGTTTTCGACTGTTTCTACACAGAAACGTACAAAATATTGTACATTGAAAATTGAAGCGCTGTTTACGTTCACAATCTTACCGATCTTTGAGCAGTTTACACGCAATTAAGTCAGTCACTTGAACTGTCCTGATCTTTCTTGGTCACGACAATGTTTCTTTCCGATTGCCTCGAGTCTCTTTTATGAAGGTGTCGATGATGATGATGACGATGATGATGACGACGTGACTTCCGGTTCCGGTCACTCTCCTGAGAGCTGCTTCTGCGTCTATCAAAACTCCTACTGCGCTGTCGACGACCAGTTTTACGTTCAGAGATACCCTGATGTTTAAACCTTCCTTCACCCTGAAGGAAAGCTCGTTTGTCCTCTTGTTCACTGCCTGCGCTTTCTTCGTTTGGAGAAATCTGTTCATCGTTATTTTCACGTTCTTTGCTTAATGGAATGGGTGCATAACTTTGTGCCTCCAAAGTTCCATGACCTTCTTCAAACTCATAATCACGAGCTAAGCTTCTCCATGTCTGTTCGTCACCGTTCGAGTAAGAAATTGGTTTCCGTATGTCCCTAATGTCTTCTTTACGCGCAAGATGGCTTTCTTTTTCAAATCTGTACAAAATGTCTCGACTTTCTTGTTCAAATTCCTCACTGTCGCTGTTACTGCTAGTATTTTCTCCTCTCCTGTGTCTGCCACTTTCATTGATTGAAGCAAACTTTGACCTTGCATAGGCTTCATTTGCAAAGGTCTTTTCCTCTTCTTCACGTCGCCTTTCTGGAAAGCGCTCTTCAGGTGCAGGTGAACATTCGTTAGATTTTTCATCATTTGAGTTCCTTTCACCTCGTGTTTCAACTGTTGCAAATTTATCACTGCTTTTACCATCTCTTACCGAGTAGCTCTGTTTCATTTTTCTTTCCGCTGATTCACGGTCTTTCATATGCTGTTTGCTATCTGTTCTCTGAAGTAACTGTGATCGTGGGGACTTCGAATGTCTTCGTGGAGACCTCGAGCGTTGTCGCGGAGACCCCGAGTGTCTCCGTGGAGACGGCGAGCATCTCTGTGGGGAATTTGAGTGTTTTCGTGGGGACCTCGACCGTCGTCGAGAATACATCGGGGGTCTTTGAGGTGACAGCGAGCGTCTCTGTGAGGAATTTAATTGTTTTCGTGGAGACTTCGAGCGTCTTCGAGAAGACATCGGGGTCTTCGAGGAGAATTCGAGCGTCGACGGGGAGATCTAGAGCGTTCTCGAGAAGACCTCGACTGTCTAAATGGTGATCGTGCACGACGCATAGGAGACCTTGTACGCCTGCGTGGAGACCTTGACCGAGTCACCAAAGGTGGGGGAAAACGGCGCGAAATGTTCCGCGTTTCATCCGGAGAAGAAGGCGGGGGCGTGCGATAACGCTGAAAAATAAAAATCACGTGATTAAGTTCTGTTTCAAACCGATGGAGTAGCCTCGGGCCAGGCTCTTTGCTTAGGGGGGCGGAAGGGGGAAGGGGGAAGGGGGAAGGGGGGTACACTGTAAGTGGGTTTTCAGAGATGTGTTTTGCCTTGTTTTGTTCCTAAATGATTCATTAGATGGTGATTTCCTTTTCTACTGGTGTATTGTTTTTCTCGTGAGGAAGTTTAAACTAATACCCGGGGAATTTCCTCACCATATTTCCTCGTCCTCGTAGAATCCTTCCCGACCTGGAAACCTGCCGATAAGAAAAACAGACAGAGATAGATGATAGAGGGTAAAAAGTTTTATAATTGTGTTAAAAGAAAGAAAAATAGTTACCCGCGGAATCCAAGCTTCATTTTAAGAACCAAAAGACTCGGATGTAATTGTTTTATTAATAATTGTGGATATTTTCTATTGAAGGTATAGACCTTATTCACAACAACCACCATCTTCGCACGCGTTCAAGGGTTGATGGGATAAATGCAATGTCACGTGATTTATCAGTCCTGAAGTGCATGCGAAGATGGTGGATACAATGAAATAAGGTCTACTGATCTCCCAAGCAATATCATTTCAGCAGGTGTACATACCCTAGTTCTTTCCTGTGAATTACTTTGAGGCAGAGCTTTATACCCTGGGGGAGACTTACTTTTCCTGTGGTCATGCAAACAGAAAATAATATAAACAACTTGAAGATACTACTGCCATCTATCTCTTACCATCTGAACAACTTTTTCCGAACCATTTGCCATCAGAATCAATTCAGCAGTGCTATCACGTCGTACTATGTAGGTTTCATTTTTGAGTCTGTGGATGAAATCCTATGGTGTGACCATTCAAATGAAATCTCTTCCATCAGTAGTACTTTCACATGGCACCATTACCTTAGTGTGTAATCAGGCATGTTGGATGAAATGCAGTTCTTAGTTTTGAGCCCGTGGATGAAATCTAGTTGTCTTGCCATTCCACAGTACTTTTGTATGTCACAATTAATTTTATTAGTATATGCCTCACAGCTTTGAACAAAGAAACAGCTTTGCCTTGGGCAAAATTTATCATTGCAAATTTAGTACGGACTTACATGCTCAAAAATTCCTAATTCATGATAATTATGCACCGAAAAGGGAATGAGTCCAGCTCTCGTAGTAATGATTAAGGTCAGGTGTACCTCAGAGGAAACATACCTATTTTTTGCCTGCTGAAGCCTCTTTTCCCTGACAGGGGAGGGGGTGCGGCTTCTTCTCAATAGAAAAGAATTATTGGGAACATCTGGGATCTCATCCACAACCACTGAACTAAAAGGTTCAGGACTCTTTGGTTTAGCATCTCCTGGACTGGAATTCAAATTAATTGCTGATATTAGTGTCAATATTTCACTAACAGGGAAGGGGGCATAAAAGCAACATTATTATGTAATATGGGACCTCAAATGTAGCCACAGATTCCTTTGCTTATCACTTACTTGGCCAGGTTTGATTAAAGCTGGGTTAAGATAACCCTGGGTTAGTGCGAGGTATGTGTAAATACTCTCAGGGAAGCCAGCAATGCAGACAAATTTTTAAGGTGGGCAAAAAATGCTTGTCTGCATTGCCATGGCTGCCATCTTTGACCACTGAGAAAGACAGGGGAGAATAGAAATAGCAACTCTTGGACTAGTCATGGGGTAAAAAAAGGATGTAAGAAGGGGGAGGGGAGAAAAAATAATATATTGTTTTCTCTTCTTTCTCCCTAGCCTGCGTAGCAAGAGTTTGCTCTTGTTCTATTTTTGGTGCGGCCAAAACCAAAAATCCTGTTCCATGTCATTCCTCCATCTTTCTTTGCTCCGAAACCACACAAAAACGCTTGCTACACAGGCTACTTTCTCCCTAACCTCTTTGACTTGCCCTTACTCCTCAACTTGTTTGGAATTCAACATGTTGATTGCCATGGTTATGCTCTGCACTCGGCACAGTGGCTCTATCAGTCCTTTTTGCTACTCAACCAAATCTATCTACAAGTACATGTTGTCATTTGAGTGTAATGAATGAATTATTGAATGCTGTACTTTTTGCGAACAATGTTAATTTTTGAAATTGTATGTCTATGCATTTTTTTATTAAGTCATTAATTATTTTATTCACAGTATTCATTTTACCAGATTTGCATTTTTTGTATGTATTTGTTAAATGTTTGTGTATTGATGTATTTGTGGTGTAGTTACAGCCACTTACCTGTCTTTTATCTCTTTCTTTTTCTTCTTTGCTTTCTTCTTGTCCTTGCGTTTTACAGATTCACTCATCTTTTTTCTCCTTTTCTTTTTTATGCGTTTCTTTTTCTCCCGCTCATCAGTTGATGACTGATCACTGTCTGATTCTGATCCAGAACTGGATGAAGAGTCAGTATCTGAGGAGCTGCTGTCAGAATGTCGCTTAGATTTCCTTCTTTTCTTTTCAGCTTTCTTCTCTGCAGTTGAAAGTTAACAAATAACAGTAAGACATCACCCAAGAGCAAAAGTATGATGCCAGGGGTCAGCAGGCAGCACTGCTGCTAGAGCACAGTTCTGTACATAAATTTAGTCAATGGAAACATATCGTGTACCTTTAGCCTTTGCTTTTGGAATAAGTTCACCACAGTTGATAATCTTTACATCCACTAGGGGCCTACTCTTGTCATCAACTCTTTGAATCTCTATCTCTGATACTATTTCCTGACCTTGCAATACTTGGCCAAATATCACATGAATCCTACAAATAAAATAAATATACCACAATATAAGCAAGAGCAACATTGTTGAAGTGTGGGAAATCATTGATCTGTGACTTGCTTTTGAGTGGCAACAAACAAAAATGCATTATGTGTACAAGTCATGTACAACGCCATTACCTAATTTCACCTTTTTTTTATTTCACGAAATTTGTTTCGGGAATTAATATCCTCACAAAACGAAAACACGCAAAAAATTTTAATTTAATACCCATAGAAAATTCAAATCATATAAAAACGATTAAGATTTAATAACAACAACTGTTTCTACTGTAGAGCCTAGGTTTATCGACAACAAAATTTAATTATCAACTGGTTTTACTGGTAATTTTTATTCTGTTGTGGAATAATGTTAATATGCATTTTTTTTGTTACATTTATCTTGAGATCTTTTAAAAATTCATATGTTTGAGAAATAAAAATTTGATGCCATTTTTTTATATTTGTGTATTGAAATTGAAAAAATGAAACCATGTGAAACACTGCCTTGTCTGTAGCAATAACATCATAATGCTAACAGAAATTTCCTTTCTGTCAGTAAGAACAGCTGAATCAAGTTAAAAGAAAACTTACCCATCAAGATGTGGGGCAGGCTGAGTTGTTCTGTGAAAAGCAAAATAAACACACTATAAAAACTTAAAACATTAAAACTTTGTCTTTATTCACACTACAATATTGTTTAACGTATCACAGAGATGCCATTTTACCTTGGAAGACCTGAAATCTGGCCCAAGTTGTTCACTCCTTGGATCAGGTTGCTAGTTAGCAGATAAATTAATATCCAGTGGATAAGTATTAATTAGGGAAAACAACTGGATCAACGACTGGATAGAGATTAATATTATCAAGTTGATACATTGAAGTACATAAACCCTCTTTTAAACTTGAACCTGGGGCCTTGAGAAAAGCAAGGAATTGAGAATTAAAGGAGGGGAAAATTAGACAACAGCAGGAAATTAAAAAAGAACTGAACCATTTTTGCCAGTGTAATTAAGTTAACAGTGCCCAGTTGCTCAGAAGGTGGGTATATGCTATTCATCAGGTAAATTACTATCCAGAGGGCAAGGCAATTGGATTTCATGACACGCTAACCACTCCATAGCGATTATTAATTTATACATTGGATAGCACTACATTTATCCAATCTTTGAGTGATCAGGAGCAGTTGAATTTTATACTTGGTTTCAAATTATAGGGTGGTTTCCATCTCTTAAAAGATCAAATACTTACATAAAAAACTGAGAACCATTAGTGTTTGGACCTCTGTTAGCCATGGACAACAACATTGCTGTCTCATGCTTAAGATGGAATCCTTCATCTGTTATATGCAAAACAAAAAAATGAAAAACTTAATATGACAAGTAAATCACTGCAGTTATCACAATTACATGCTTGTATTTCTCATAAGTTTCAACCCCAGTTAACAAAAAAATTAATTATTTTCATATATTATTTAGATACGCAGTTAAAAATATACATCCCATTAGATCAGCTTTATAATATTAATAATAAAATAAGGGTTTCCTGAAAAAAGGGTGTAATTTGCTTATTATTGATAAGCAAATTAAGCCCTTTTTACTGTTATAGTAATGAAGATCAATGAGAGTGTCATAATGCTGAGATCTGTAATGTTAATACATAATCCAATATTGCATAACATTGTTTCATTCTCCACATCATAAGCAAGCTGAATTATTGGCTGACAGATTAATATAAACCAATCAAAACCTGACAACATCTTGTGTAAAAGATAATAATTGTGAGACACAGATTTGCATAAGGTGTAAGTTCACTGGAAGATACAGGGCTGTCACTACGAACCAGTGGTCGGGGATTTTACCTGGGTACTACGAGCGTGAGCCCTGGCTTCTCTTATAGGAAACAAAAAGAAAACAGAACCAAAAGAACTAATTCCTAGCTCAGTACAATTCCCCTCCTACTAACTGCATTTACCCAGCAACTTGAAATTTTAGCGACAGCCCTGAGATAAGAGTCATTGCAGAACAGTAGAACCTTGATATAACAAAGTCCTCAATATAATGAACGATTTTCTTTTAACCCCAGTATAGTAATAATAAAATATATGGAAAATAACCTCGATACAACGAAACCTTGTTATAACAAAAAGCAATTTCACTGTCACACCAGTAAAATGTAGTTGATGGAACGTGATGCTAGTTATCAGCAACCCTTTCATTGCGGTTCTTTTTCAATAAAGCAGTTGTGTAGTCAAGTTGTCAAGTTCAGCAAGCTCTAAGATGCATTGTATTCTAGCGTAGAATTTTACAGCCTTGTTGTCTTAAGTAGGCTACTACGAGCCACAGTATTGGCCAGTATTTTCAAAGCACTATTTATGGCTAAGAATTTGCATATGCAATGCTGAGCTGTCTTGTAGCACAGCCTTTTCTACTGGCTATGCCAGCAGATGTTCGTCTTGTTATAAAAGCCAAGAACAACTGTTCAGAGTTCACTTGGGTTCTATTGTTCAGCAAGGTTTAAGCGCTCAGTATACTATTCTTGTAAAATTTTTCCCTCCCTCCTTCCCTTTGGAGACAATCGAGGTTTGGGCTTTGTTTTGTGCTATGCGATCAATAAACTAGGGACACTCCTCGGAGGTACGGTTAAGTCTGCACAGCCACTCCCCCCTAGCTTGTTGGCTGCATTGCCATTTAATATGTCCTGCAAAAAGATACTCTTGTTCGATCCAGCACGTGCTGTATTGCATTCAGTTTGTAGTGCTGAGGAGATACGTGAGGTTTTTTGGTCACGCCATTGCCGGAAGTCGCACAGGCTAACCTAGCGCAAGGCAGTGCTCCCCTATTTAATCCCAACTTGTCATTATTTGTTTTATAATTAAATTACTTTGCATTTAACATGCATCATAAAGGAGCAGAGACATTAACATATTTCACCAGTCCCTTGGCTCTTTGTTATATCAGGGTTTCACTGTAGTCAACTCAATTTTATGTTTACAACGAGGCCTGACAAACTACTGATAAAATTCCTGTTTGACTATAACACAAAGTCAATTCAGATATTAGAGGTTTACTATACTCAATCCTCAGCAATTTTTGCAACTAAATATGACTCTAAGTGCACATCCTGTTATTGAGATTAATACTGTGAAGCTACAAACCATTAAACGTGCCACCATAAATGGACTCTCCTCCAGTACCATTTCCTGTGATAGACAAATTAATAGAAAAATATAATTTATTTCATCACGTAACAAATTTTAAATGCATGCTCTAATTGATCAAAGGTTTGCAAAGAATGATTTGTACAGCACATGACATACAGTGCCACTCAAAAGTAAGTTACCAGTCATGTCTCATTTCCTACACAATGAGAATCTTGTTGCACACTACGTGATTATCATCACGCTACTAGAATCGCGTAGTGCCAGAATCATTGAAGCGGCAATTTTTGGCAAAAAATTATTGCCACACATCCAGTGAGAAACCAACTAAAAATTTTGCTTAGTGTTACCTAGAAGACTGATGTAGTACATGTTTTACAGATCAAAAAAATATCTGATACGAACATGAAAAGTAACAAGCACCTTGCATCAGGTGTTAATAGTCAGCAGCTTTTAAAAACTCTGTGAAAAACTGCTGTTCTTGTTACAAAACCTCTCCCTCGCAACTCTCACAAAAAGATCTTATTAATGTAAGTAAAGATACAGAACCTACCATTTATACATCAAAAAAGGTTTTATTGCAACAATCTGCAACTTCTTTTGCAAAAACTACACTTAGGCACACTTACAAGCCACTTACACATTGGGATGAAAACTCTTGTGTCAAAATAACATCAGTCATAACAAATTCCTAGGTAACAATACAGCTATTAAAGGAGATTGTTTTCCAGTATCTTTGCTAATGACAAT